AAATGTCTGTGATCACGCGTGTATCACGTGTAGTGCTGTAGGCGCCTCCAAATGAGTGCGAGTGACCCGACCTCTCAAATCTTCCTCAGGTATGTAAATCTGAGGATGAGGAGCAGAACCTCACCGATTCCGAAACAGCCGAGGATGAAGATGAGAAAGCAGCAGGAAGCGTCATCAGGTCAGACAAAAGTCACCAGTGTTTTACTGAGCATGCTCAGAGCTAAAATGATTAGCTGGGCGATTACATTTCATCATGGCACCTGTGTCAGCGTGCAGGAGGAACTGCGCTCAGAAACAATCCAACTGCAGGCCACAGGACACAGATGTGAACGGTGCTTTTAAACCGGCTCTAACTGTGGTTCAGGAGTCAGTGTGTGATGTGAATCTTTCATTTTACTGTCACTGACGTTTGTTTTGTGTTGGCAGGAAATCTCAGCGGCTCCAGAAGCGTTCAGGTGAGAAAAACAACGCTAGCAGGAAGACGTGAAAGGTCTCAGAGTTTACACTGTGCACTTTATTAAACTTTACACACAAAGACAGGAAAACATCTCAGACACAGGAACAGCGCAAGACCACAAAGTGGTCCATTATTTTTCCAGCTGCAGAACAAAACATTTCTCTGAATATTTATTTATGTAAGAGCATCATTCGAAGTCCTGATATTTTATATGTTTATGAGGGGAAACGGTTTTAATATGTATTTAAAATATGCTGAGCTTCAGTGGTGGTTTTACCCATCAGTGCTGTGTACCTGCACGTCTCTAATATTATGACTTCATATTGAAGATGCATTGGACACAACATTAGAAACACCTCTTAATGTAAAACAGTCCAGCATCAGCTGGAAACACGAGCTCAGGAATTAAAGGTTGTAGTTTCTCCCCCGTGTGTGTGTGTGTGTGCGTGCGTGCGTGTCAGGTGGCCGGCTGAGGAGAAGCACGAGGCTGACCAAAGTGACGAGCAGGTACGAGGCCTCCAACATGTTCGACGGCATCAGCACCAAGTAAGAAAATCCTCCTGACATGTGAGGTGATGGAGGTGCAGTAAAAGCAGTGACGTAGAAACTGAGATGAGTTCAGGTTATGATGCCATCAATGACACTTTGATTGTTAACCCTGAGACAGCCAATGAGAGAAGCACACAGAACAACAGCTCTGTTTGATCGTCCCTGCTGGGATTCACGGATGTCTTTGATACATTAAAAGTCTGAAGTTTAACCTGAGCAGCTCAGAGTGATGTGATGAATGTGGCCACATGTGGCCGTCCGCCGTGTTTGCACTGATCTTTATGCCACAAACCTGTACGATTGTGATAATACGGTAGATTGAATCGTGGTGACGTCCACGCTGTTCTCTCTGCAGCGCCGCCAGGTCGGTCCTGAACAGGATGGACAGCATGAAGAAGAAGAGGCGGCTCAGTAACAACAAGGAAGGAGTGAGTAGAGCCGTTAGAGTGGATCAGTGACTATAAGTATTTATAAGTATTTATCCTGCCTGTTTGCACAAAGAAACGTCTCTGTTCAGTTCTCAGTTATTACAGGCAAAATCATTCCTCTGGACACGCTCGGGTAGAAGGACTGGACTGAAAATGAGTGACAACGAAAACCTTTTTCAGACTTTTAAAGAAACGAGGGTCAGCACAGTACTGTAATTAAAGAGCTCACAGATGCTCATCTGTATAAGCGAGGACTCAAACCAGACGCTGTGTCAAGTATTTTCTGCCACAAGTCAGAGGTCATCAAAGGTCACGACCCCGTTGACCAGGAGTGACATCGGCCCAAACAGTGTGCTCAGATACAGACAGCTGTGCGCTGGTCACCAGCTGTTCTGGGGTCAGTGTGATCGTCTCCATCATCACAAACCGTCTGAGTCTTTTTCTTTCTTTAAGGATCAAATAGAAAACATGAACAGAGGACATGTTTCCCTCACCGTAACCTTTTGGCATCATTACCCAGACTGCACTGCAACACAAACATCTAAGGCAGCTGCAGTGTTTATAAAGGCACACGCGTGTGTGCGCTTTGTGGCGTCACTGTTGCCGTGG